GAATGCCCCACTCTCCTTCCCCACACAGCTCATGTTTTCCTAATAATAACATATTTTCATCTTTCTTCAAGTATGACCAACTTTGACCATTATGGCTGAGTTCCCCAATACCAACCACTCCACCTGTGACCAGAAGCCATTCCATGAGTCGGTCCACCACTATAAGACACAGCTCTTGACAAACCTTCCGGTGTGCTGGCCAGTCTGACCTTTGGCATTCGGGGCCACAGTAATAGACATTTCTGCACCTGAGAGAATGAGTCCGAGAAATAGATGTTCCTAAATCTCAAAGGTGATTGTGGGATATCTGGGGAAGGGAACTGATATTCTTGCACATAGGAAGAAAGATTACTGGGTAAAGAAGGTAGAGAGAGGAATGACAGCTGATGCACCAAATTTGGGGACTCCATTTTGCAGAGGAGGCAGGAGAGACTGGAAATGTAATTTTCCTCTTGGGTCAGAGTGACACCTCAGTCTCTAATTGCAATGACTCACTTTTTACAACTCTTATAGAAAACAGTTTGTGGCTGCCCTCTTATCATGGTTATGGCTCAACTCCAACCTCCCCAGAACAGATTATGGTCTTACCCCTTGAGGACTCAAGAGGAAGAAGATAGAATTGTACTGTGGTCTCTGTCTGACCTCCATATAACACTAAAAATAAGCAAGAGCCCGAACCTTTTATAATCTCTCTCTGGTCTGGATAATACAAAATGAGGAGTGGGAATTAAGATATTCTGAAAATTCTCAGACCTTTTTCTCCCACAGGATCATTTCTGGGTATCCCTCCTATTAGCCTCTGTCTAGTCACCTCTTGCAGTGCCGGAGGACCTTGGAGTCTGAAAGGCCACTAGGGAGTGCTCTACAGTGAGCACAGAATTTGAATGTGTCCTCCATCTTCTGAAACATTTCTTGAAGGCATCGAAATCCAAAGCCTGATGCAGGAGTACCCCCATCTACCACCAACCTGCAGAGACAGCATGAGGAAGGAGTGGTAATAAGAAAAACAGCTCTCAAATTTCTCATGATCCCTACCTTGCCTCCTATATATTTCCATCTACTCCCATGTCTCCTACGCCCATGATTTATCACTTACAAAAAAATTATAGTTCTTAAATTTCTAGAAATAAAACTGGCAAAGGTCAGTATGAGAGAATCCCTCATTGCAAATACCCCATAATCCCCAAGTTATACTCCCTCTCCACCTTTTGAAATCACTTCTACCAGAGACAATGTACTGCTCTTCCACAGAGTCACTCACTTGTATTCTTCATAGCTTTTCATGTTCAGCTTTTGAAGAATCACCTGGGATAGGCCAGGAACATTATTCTCCAAGGAGGAGAAGCCAAGTGCATCAATGCTAGGGCCAGGTTTTGAGAGGGTCAAAGGCACAGGGGTCACATCTGTGGGCAGAGTCACAACCATGGGAGCCACTGATGAGGTGGGTTTCTTGTGCCTTCGTCGCCGGGGCCGTGGAGCCATGGCCTGTCCACTGATACCTAGGTACTATATGTAGACAACATATGGAATGAAATTTTGCAAGTTGGACACATATGGTGTGTTTTCACATGTCTGACCTTTTACTTCTCATTCCAGTCTCTCCAGACCCAGGTATCAGTAAAACTTATTTCATATCTACTGATTACTGATCATTACAAGCAGTTGTGAAAAATGGGGAAAATAATTATACATGAAGTTCTATATATAATATAAATATATATGTAAGTAATGCAAAGAAAAAAGTCTGGCAGGGCTCATATAAAACCAATAACAGTGATTAACTCTGAAGGGAAAAGGCACTGGGATAGGAACTGAGTTAGTCAAAGGGGATTTTTGACTTACCTGTAATGTTTGACTTTTTTATACAAAAGAATATATTCACATATTATTAGTGTATTTTAAAAATCAACTTAAAAGAAAAAGCAACAGAAATTTTGGCCACCCAAAACTCCATCAAATTGGAGAATTAGTCAATCTAATCTAGTTGGCAAAGTAAAACATTCACTTTAAAAGACCTATTAACACATATATAAGCAATAAGCCAAGAAATAGAAATTAAATGCAGTACAAAATGTTAACAATGCTAAGAGTTATATATTCAAAGCAAGTAATGCAAATTTTGAGAAAAATTGCCTAAAGAAGTGAGTTTTGAAGTAGAGCTAAGTCTACACCCACCCACTACCTAGCAGGAACTCTGTGATGTACTCTTTCTCTGGCCTCTCTCGTTCCTTCCACAAGGGCTGAGTAAACAAAAGAGACTACACTGGGAAAAATAAAAACATTCATTCATTCAATAAATATTTATTGATAAACAAATAAAATCATTTGGAAAACACTATAATGGAAAAATTATGAAAAATATACTTAACATCTAAATATAGAGGGAATAAATGTAAACTATAGTTTAGGATAGCATATAAATCTTATAAGTGAAACTAAAGCATAATGGGAGATCAGAAGAAGAAAGTCTTTTCAGTTGGTGATCTATAGGAAGACTTTTTGCCGCAGGGAACAGCTAGAATAGACCATGAAAGAAGGTATTAATTTGAATACAAAGAGAGAGGAAAAACGAAATTCTAAACACAGACAAGAGTTTGAGCATAGAAATGTAGATGGGAACATTCTGGGAATTAATGAAATAGAATAATTTGAGCTTGATTATTGAGTCTAAAGACCTAAATATAGGAGCTAAAACTACAAAGTCTTATTAGAATACATAAGGGAAAAACTTCATGATATTGGATTAGACAAGTCTTTGGATATGACACCAAAAATAAAAGCAACAAAAGAAAAATAAATTGGACTACATCAAAATGTAAAACTTTTGTGCATCAAAGAGTGAAATGAAACCCATAGAATGGGAGAAAATATTGGCAAATCATATATCTGATGAAAGATTAATATCCTGAACATGTGAAGAACTCCTAAAACTCAACACTACCACCAAACAACCCAATTAAAAAATGGGCAAAAGATCTGAACAGACATTTCTCCAAAGAAAATATACAAATTGCCTAAAAAAAAAAAAAAAAAAGCATATGAAAAGATGTTCAACATCACTAATCATTAAGTAAATGCAAATTAAAACCATGAGAAACCACCTCACACCCATTAGGATGGATATTATCAAAAAAATAAAAATAAAAAATAACGTGTTGGTGAAGATGTGGAAAAATTGGAACCTTTGTGTTATGATGGTAGGAATGTAAAATAGTACAGCTGCTATGGAAAACATTATGGTGACTCTGCAAAAAAACATAAAATTACCATATGACCCAGCAATTTCACTCTAGGTATATACCCAAAATAACTGGAAACAGGTATTCAAAAAAGTGCTTATACGCAGGTATTCACAGCGCCACTATTCACAATAGCCAAAAAGTAGAAACAACGCAGAAGTCCACCAACAGATGAATGAACAAATTGGGATATGTATACAATAAAATATTATTAGCCATAAAAAGAAATGAAGTACTGATATAATCTCAACATTATATGCTAGGTGAAAAAAGCCAGAAATAAAGGTCACGAGTTATATGATTCCATTTATATAAGATATCAAGAATAGGTAAATCCTGAGACAAAACAGATTTGCGGCTGCCGGGGGCTGGGTGTAAGGGAGAATGGAGAGTAACTACTTAATGGTTATGGGGTTTTCTTTTGGGATCATGAAAATGTTTTGGAACTAGATAGAGGTGGTGCTTATACAACGTGAATGTTCTAAATACCACTGAATTGCTCACTTTAAAAAGATTAATTTTATTTGAATTTCACCTCAGTTAAAAAAGTATCCATAGAGATTAGGAAAATAATACAATATTAACCTTAACTGCCTCTGGGGACAGGTAAATAAGAAAGGCTAAAAATACTAACAGTGGTTGGCTTTACTGTGAATGAGGTAACTATTAAAGTTCAAATCAGGGATCATGTTTTAGGACAAAGATGGTCTGACATTTAATCCTTCCAGATCAGATTAGGAAAAAAACTCTAGAATCATCATTCAGCTGAGATGTAGGTGGCAGAACAAACAAACAAACAAACAAACAAAAAATCCTCCTAGAATCATCCAGCTAATAACCATTATGTTACAATATGGCTCTTGTAAACCTGTCCTCAGGTTGATGAAGAATCTATATTTTCCTTTGTATTTTCTTTCTCCTCATCCTTTCATTCCACCTCTTTAATCTCTCCCCTCATCCTACAGTGGTTTCAGAATTCACAGAACAGAGATAGCTAAGCTCATCTGCATACCATATCTTCTAAATTGATATAAAGAAGAAATTAGACCTAATGACAGATTATTTTAGGATTTAAGGGTCATGTCCCTTTACTAAAGGGTGGATGGAATTGTCTTCTCACCCTCTGATCCCATTTCCAACACTGACCTGACTCTTCCCTGTAGTTTTCAACCACACATAATCACTGCATTTCTAGAAGCATTTATCTGCTCTATCTACCCAGCCCCCTCATGCAAGATAATACCTTAAACCTTGAAAGAATGGACTCCTGTTTACTGGTAGGGAGAAAAAGTATCTGATTTGAGACAACTCAAGAGTCTTAAATCCCAGGAGTAATAATACATCCCTGATGTTCAGCCAAAAGCCTTCATGTTGCAATCAATGGGAGCTGATTAAGACCAGAAAGATACTGCCTTATTTATCTGCCTTTCCAAAGAGAGGTCTTCTTCCAATGGAAGCTTAATCTTGGCTCTCCGGGGGTTGGTTAAACTGGCTTAAAGTCAAGGGATCACACAGCATGGAGAGGAGTGGTAGGGTGAAATCTCTGATGTCATAGTTTTCCTCTGTGTCTAGAGTGGGTTCATGATACAAATAAGTTAGTTTGCTGGCAAGAAGGTAAGAAGGTAGGAATAAGGAGCCAAGTCTTTGCACTTGCATCTAGATATATTGTCAGGCTCATGTTTGAGTTTGCGTACATCAGTCCCAGAGTCAGTTTCCCTAGTTGTTAAGCCCCTACAATGAGCCCTCAAATCTTCCGAGTTCAAGGTGGGGTGGGAGGAAGATTGAGGGAAATAAAGGCAAAAAACAAGACAAAGGAGAAATTGGAAAGAATTATATATAGTAAGCTTTCAGAATTTTTCAGAGTTCAGAGTCCACCCCACCTTGAAAGGGAATCATTTTAACTTTTTTCTAGCCATCCCCAGTGACTCGAACTCTAATTTATTGCCAGTATATGAGAAAATACCAAAACCAAGTAGAGGAAAGGAGACATGAACTGGAGAGCCTAGAAAACCTTCTATCCTTCAACTCCAAATTCCCTAAAATATTAGCCTATTCCCAGGCCTAGATCTCTTATCTTTACTCTTCCTTATCACCAAAAGCCTTAAGTTTCACCTAAACCACACTCATCTTCTCACCATCTGCTGACCAGGAAGGCCCATCTAATTTTCTCTAATTCACCAGCAGATACAAAATGTCTTTGGAGAGCTAAGGAAGAGGAGTAAAGCTAGTAGCCATTGCAGATCCTCAAATGGGTTTGAGAAAGAGAAAGAGAAAAAGGAGAAATACATTAGGAACATTGCTATTACTCACACATTCAGCTGCTTAATCAGTGATTAACACTCCCTGGGGTGATAAATGCTTTACTCAATAAACTAAACAAGCAAAGTGGTTGATGGAAAAGTAACTTACCCTGCTAAGCCCTCGGCTTCCTTTCTTCTCTATTTCTTCCAAGTGAAATGAATGCTTGATCTCCTTAGATCTAGGTTGTGGCTGACTTGCAGCTGTCCCTTCCTATCACTTGCCTTTGCAAACTGTTGAAATGCTGGGTATCTGTGATTAGGTGTGCCCTGCCAACAAGGTAAGGAAGGACCTGGTCCCCTGCCCATGAACTTCTCTCTTTCTGACCTTCCTTCTCTGCCAAGAAGGCTCAGAACTCTGTCAACACTCCCAAACTCACCAAAGGCCAGGCAGGTTAAGGAAAGATGAATATTACTTCTTCCTGGGTCTAAGGCAGCATTATTACTGCTCTCAGTCCACGGCGTCAAGGAAAAACCCTTGGGATTAGTTCAGAAGCCAATATTTGGTTGGAAAAGGCAAGCACTAGCCCCGGAACCCCTGGGTTTCTGGATGTCAATGTAGACCCAGGGTGAGTCCAAGTCCAAAGCCTTTTTTAGCGTAAGAAACTGCTCAAACACAACCCAACCATAACCAATCTAGGCATAAGTACAAACAAAATATCCAAAAAAGGATAGAAATGGTACAGAAGGAAATCAATTGTAAGGAAAACATCCAGAATTAATTTGTAAAATTCACTTTCCCTAAAAGGACAGCAAGACACTTTCTGAATGAATGTCATTAGAGGCACTTCACCTGTTTATTTCAAAAGAGGACTATAGTAGTCTACCGTATCCACTGGGGGTATGTTCCAAGAAACTGAGGATAGGACTGAACTCTACATAAACTATGTTTTTCCTTATACATACATCCCTACAATAGTTTAATTTATAAATTAGGCACAGTAAGAGATTAACAGCAATAATAATAAAATAGAACAATTATAACATCCTGTAATAAAGTTAGGTGAATGTGGTAGTAAGTAAAATAAGGGTTACTTGAACAAGTACTGCAATATACCTTGACAGCCTATCTTATACATGAAAAGGCCAGTAAGTGACTAATGTGAGCGGAGATAGCATGCATGGATATGCTGGACAAAGGGATTCATGTCCTGGGAGGGATAGAATGGGACAGCATGAATTTTCATCATCCTACTCAGAATGATATGCAATTTAAAACTTATGAGTTGTTTATTTCTGGAATTTTTCATTTTAATATTTTCAAACCACGGTTGACTGAAACCATGGAAAGCAAAACCATAGACAAGGGGGGACCACTGTAAATATTTCTGGATTATTAAAGTAAGCAAGACCAAAATATTGACGTCTAAAAACATAAACTATTTCTAGGAACAGAAAATAAGAAACAACTTAAACATCTGTAAACATCTTGTAATGGATACTGATCCAGGGAATTTAATTCCACTTTCCTAGCTCATTTTCACTTAGAGTTATTGAGCTCCAGAACTTTGTCAGGACAGTGGTCCTGTATTACTGCAAGTTCTGACTTTATGTTTATATCTGGCCCCAACTATATATATCACTTACCTGCCTCTGTGAACATTGTCAAACTGGGGAGCAGAACCACTTGCAATGAGGTCCTGGATGTGGCATAAAATTTACATATGAACAGATGTAGAGAATAGATTCCCAAACTGTAGAAAGCACAAACTACAAGCAGGAAAGGTGGAAGAAAAGTGTTAAGGATGCAAAAAGGAGAAAGGAAAACATTACATAACATTATAAAGAACAGCTGTGGACAAAGGAAAATCAGTTGCAATAGGCAAAAATCCTGAACAAAATAGGGTGGATCCACTTTAAGCAAAGGTCAACTTCAAATGTAACTGGCAGAACATCTAAAGATTTTTGAGTTCTGTTAATAATGGCTCAACTGCAGAAGGTATAAGAAGTCAGATTGTCTTTTCTAACTCAGAAGTGTCATCTTTGGATATAAAAGGAGATACTATACAGAAAAAAATTGATATCGAATATTTACTTTTACCTTCACTACTACTTGCTCTGGTAGATACAATTTGTATTCATCACGGGTTATATTAAAAAAAAAAAACTTAAAAATACTTCTATGGTTCACTGTGAAACTTGTTAAGAAGACTAGAAAGAGGTTCCTATTCAACAGGTAGGAAGTGTGATCTGTGAAGCACTGGGTGACAGTCTACCACTCTTCATGTATACCACTTTTTCTCAGTTCCGTTCCTTTCTCTTACTTTCTCCTTTTTGTTACCATTAACACAAAATTCTTCTAGTTTGCTAATGACGCTTTATATTTACCCATGATTCCCACAAACACTATAGTGATGGACCTATGTGCTAAGGAAGTTACTGGTACTGATATACTAGTTAAGCTGCTAAGTCAGAGGTGCAGTTTTCAGAAAACAATAACATCAAGAAGAATCTTTAAGATATGCAGTGCATAGTAACTTTAAAGTCAGTTCATGGACTTTTAATATTATAGTAAGTAGAAGCTGTAATCATCAATTTTAGTTCTGTTTGGAATTAGGCAAGTATATGTATCTTGGAATTAGGCAAGTATATGTATCTTGAGCTAAATTAATGCTTTATAATGTGTATCATTACACTTATTATTGAAAGCTGTAATTAAAATTGCTATATGATATTATTATAAAATGTTGAGCAATATCCTAATTTCCCTCAATTGTCAAAATCTGTGTTTATTTTGATCATGACAAAGAAAGAGTATCAGGAAAATGCAATATCACTAATATCTTTTTTCTTATTGTTAAAACATCCACTAAATTTCCAATACTACTGTAACAAAATTCTAGACAATAACATTTTTCCTTCAATTAAAAATTAAATAAACAGTGATTTTAATTAGATTTAGGCCTATAATAGGCATCCAGTCCTCTAGTGCTCAGTTACTAATGTTCATGTAAAAGAGTAACCAAAGTTTAAAAAAAAAAAGCAAAATTTATGAAGAATTTAATTCATCAAATTACCATGAACTATCCATGAGATAATCTCTGAAGGATATAGCCCAATTCTATTACCAGGATTTTCTGATTGGCATGAGAAGGTCAAATCGGACTACATCTTCCAAATAAAACCCAACACAGAGATAGGAGCAGCGGCCCATGCATGGAATTTATTGTGTGCTACTGTTTATAAAATACTCGAATAGTCCTGCACATGCATAATATTTCCAACTTAGACAGGAGACCATACAGGGTGCACTTTCTGGCAAACAAAACAATAGATGGTTCCGCTGCCTGGAGCTCTAAGTTGTATTCCAGGGCATGAGGGAAGCAGGCCACCAAAGCAAAGGGAAATACCAAACTACAGTGGCAATCAATACAGGTCAATAATTGTGAAAAATTAGCACATGGTTCCATTTAGTTTAACCAAGCAGTTCTGTAGCTATCAAAAAAATGTTCAACATGCAGTCTTGACTTTTATGCTTCCACTAACAACTGAATGATTGAACACCATTGTTGCTTCTATGCTGCATTGCTTAATCAAAAACATTTCCAGAACATATTAAAATTTCCTTTGCATCAAAACATAAAAATGATAGAAAGCCAGCAGCAAATCACCCTGGTGGCTATTTAAGCAACTTGAGTACTCACAATAAACTAAAATTTCTCATAACATCTAGGTAACCTACACATGTCGTACCTGTACATCATAGGTCTATATATTAAATATTTGCAAAATGAAAACATGCATACACAAAATACGTCAAGTTTTACAGACATGATTTGAATTAAAATTTACTTTTGACAATGTACAAACTTCTTTTAAAGTATCTTAAATGAGTAATTCTGTAATTCTTAATTTTGAAATTTTAGAGGTTTTCCTCTTAAATCTCTGGGGTGTAAATCTCAAAAGACCTGGGCAAAAAGATTTTAGATTTGTATTCAAGTAAGAGAATCTGCCTAGAAATATGTTATATATTCATAATTGAAAAATACCAAGACTATATTACAGAATTAGCCACATTTAAGAACTGTAGACCTGAGGTCATCATTTTGTATAAACGCCAACTGGGTTTCTCAGCATTTTGCTCATAATTCAATATACAGCTTAGTAACCTCAGAAATGTATTTTAAGACCATGCTAATTCATCCTTTAAAGACAATTCATGGGGGGAAAAAAGTCCATGTTAGCTCTTAGGCTTGCATTTGAAGTCATGGTTGAAAACAAAATCTAAGTCTACTGAGGGAAAAAAGAAATCTCATTTGTAAACTTAAATGTGTGAACCACAAGCATAAATGGAGGTGTAGTTGCCCTCCACTGGAAATTGCCCCAAGCCCCCTGCTCACTGCTCTCCACCTTGGCAGCGATGACCCAGTCTTATTAGATAGCACAAACATGTCCCAGGGCCCTCAAGCCTCCATCCAGAAGAGGGCTGGGGTCTCAAAAGCACAATGGTTTCTCCAAAGAGACTGTGACATTTACAGTCAGCTTGGCCGACCCCTCCAGCTCCTCGGGTGATGTGTCCATTTGGGGCTCGAGATGTGAGAGTCCCTGGGAAGCCGTGGGTCACTGGGCACTATGGTTGCCAGTCCCGTGGTTCTCAGTGGCATGTGCGGTGTTCAGAGAATTGAAACCATCTTGCTGTACAGCATCTTTCCGGGGTGGCATTCTCTCATTGATCCTATCCAAACCCTTTGCCTCTTCAAAACTGCAGATTCTATGTGGTGGAGAGAATCCTCGTATTGCTTAACAAAATGCAAATTTGATAAGTCAGTAATTGAAAAACATTTCTGAGATTTCAAAAACAATTAATGATTTTTAAAAAGAAAGAAATTAGCTCTATGTAGCAACTGTTAAATCTTACTTTAACTGAATCCTATCCCATTCTAGATATCCCTTTAAAATGTGAAATGTTTAAATTTAAAATATAAATAAGATAGCTTCATAGATGACAAGTGTTAGCATACCCTTTTAAAGAAATACAAAAATAACCTCCAGGCAATGTTCTCAGGGTCTTAGTCTGATTTCTACTGCACCAATTATCTCCTACCTCAGACCCTAAGATCATCAGTGACTATCACAATAAGGCAGCATCAAGAGTAGGGGCAAGTGAGGAGGCTAAACAAGGTTAATCCTTAACATACAAATCTGTACCAAGATATTGGGAGGAGAAAGAGGTTAAGTTAAAATTTAGCAGATCAGAATTATTTTGGAGGTCAAGGTATCATCACCCCATCACCACCAATATGAAATGAAAAAGGTGGAAAATACCTCCAGGAGTTAGATCTGTGTTTGGCTGATAGCAAAAAAATATTTATAGTTTCCATCTTAGGAGATGTTGTCTTTAATTCACTGGCCATTCAACGCATGTTCATTGGAACCCCCACCCCCGCCCCGCAAAACAAAACAAAACAAAATTATCTAGTTGTCATAGTTTCTCATTTACTTCATCTGGAATGATGCATCTTACATTATCAAAAGGTGCATAGAAAAGACCTCCATACTACTGGTTATAATCTGGTTGCTTTAATATGTGTAATCCTTGGGACTCAGAGTCTGTGCAAGTGAACCAAGTAATTGGTTGGGCAGCAAAGCAATTAGCAATGTGTAATGTGAAGCCAATACATGATATACATGAATATAATATTATCAGCAAATACTAGCCCAAACTGCAGCAAAAAAGAAAAAAAAAATCACAGTGACAGCTTCTGCACTCTCAGGCAAATTACTAAAAATGAGTAAAAACAAACAAATCTCTATCCAGAGGAGGTTTCACTTAGGAAAGAAATAATCCGAGTAGCACAGAATTGTGCAAAATATGGAATAGATCTTTATATGCAAATTTAAATGCTATGATATTATAGCATAACATGCTGCACTCTAAAGAATTCAAGACCATTAAATGCTAGTTGCATATTATACTATAAAAGGGAAATAAAACATTGTTACTATGGAAACTAGTCCTTATGATAAAAAAAAAGGAAAGAGGAATGTGACTTAAACATGATGAGTCAGTGAGTCTGATTCATCTTGGGCTGTGCAAGCTAGGAGTAAGACACACCCATAGGACATTCTCTGATGCCCACCCACACACCACAGATCTCTGCCCAGCGCAAGGACTCTGATCGTACCTTTTTCAGCCTCAATAGCCTCAACTGTGGCTGTACAGAAGTGAGCAGAGGCATGCAAAATGAATGAGAGAGATGAGAAGGGTCATATTGTACAGCAGAAAAGGCAATGATCACTTAAAATATCACAGTACCCCATACTACATCATCATTTATAATTTAACATAAATAGTACCCATATTAGAGAGCCCCATACAAATTCCCCAAATCCTGACACAGCACAGTTTAAACACAGCACTATGACAACATCACTCAGAGCACAGAACACACAGACCTACTGTAAACACAGACACCTCAGCACCCATGCAAATGCACTCCAGTATTAATTACCCATCTTGAATTCAGTATTTTGATGGCTTTAGAATTTTCCAACATGTTTATTATATCAGATCCATCACAATCACAAGGAAATTCTCTAGGGTGAAATTATGATGGTAGAATTGTAGCAGAAGAACAAACAAGACATTCTTTACTTTCATGTTTAACTGAAGTAATACTCATCACGAGTTGGTTCCCTAAGATATAAACTAGAAGAGGTCAGCAATGCTTTTCCTGTTGCTTCTGATTCATAGGGCAAAGTATAAGCTGTAAAAGTTGGTATAGCTGCAATGAAATTTAAGGGCAGTAAACTTGGTAAATTACTCTAAGTAGAAAAGGTCTGCAGCTCTGTTCTTTGTAGGTAACCTAAAAGGACCCTTCTTGTCTACTAGGAACTTCCTTTCTATTCTAACATTGGTGTTCCACTTATCTAAAGATATTAACATCTTATAGCCTTTAAAAAATCCATTTATGTTCAGTTTATCATAAACTCAAATCTGCCTCAGATACTAAACCCTGAATTCTCTAGTAAAGACAGGCTACTGAGCATCTTTTCAAACCCAGCTACCAACTAGAGAGGAGTTAAGAGACAGAAGTGAGGTCTTAAAGGCAATATATCCTAACTGTTTCATGATATGGACATATATGTATAGGTCATATAAATAAGAAATGCATTCTTGGTAAAGCTTGTCTCTGCCCCACTTAGAGAATTTCAACATATTTAGTCATACATTTTATATTCAAATATTCCTTTGGTTCATTTCTGGGTTCAAATTATAACCACTTACATTGAGAACCAGGACAAAAGACTGAAGAGGACAATAGTGCCTGACAATATGGCCAATTCCCCAGTTTACCCAAAGTGAATACTCAGAATATTTAGAACAATAATGCCCCATCTCTTCTATTTTGCTTCTCTACAATAAGGCCAATTAGAATAATTATTCTTGAAACAAACTTTTAGCAGTACATATGATTTAGAAATGATAAATTTTATCCAAAACAGTTATTAATGTGAATCTAAGACATTGATGAATTTAAGGAATTAAAGTAGCCTAAATTAGAAAAGGTTGTTGATCTCAACCAGATGGTAAAATGAATTGGAGGCCCAAAAGATGTAGGATGAACACTAAATAAGATAATTAATTTTCCTTAACTTTCGAATTATATTACAAATGAAAATATTATACTTATTGTATACCCATTGTACAAATCACCATTTAAAAAAATCTAGCCCTGTACATTTGAAAAATACTCTTGGAATTTGCCCAAATAGAAAATTGGGATAAATGACCCATCTCTACTTATCAGTCCTAGAACTACTATTCTTCAAAATGTAGACAGTTTTCTTTATAATTCAGAAACTGGGGAAAAAATAAAATGCCAATCAGAATATTTTTAAAGTGTGTGTGGTAACAGAAGTGACTTTATATGAAATATTGTATAACTTGTATTATATATGGCAATTAAAAAAAATCATGTTACCACTATAAGAATTAGTATCTATATGAGTGTACCAATAATTTAAAAGTCTAGTAATAAAATCTTCACATTATGAAAAGTGACAATATACTTTTGAAATTATTCTATGGACTTTTAATTTGATATGTAAAAGCATTTTCTAGATCAAATTATATTCTCTGTTCTTTCTTGAGGCCTCCAAATGCTCTTAGATTCTTTGCAGAATATAAAATAGTTATCAGACTCAAAACTGCATACCATGTTAAGCTCAAATGCTTAGACTTGAAAGGTGATTTGGAACTTAAACATTAATCTGGAAAGATAATTGCAAAATTCTATCTGTACTATTTTTCCTCTATTTGTTTTCAGTTTTATAGGGCATCTTGACATGGCCTTAATAAATTTGAGTATAGTGCTGGTTAAAACTGTATTCCACAATACTACACAGGATAAATGATAAAGAAAAATTTGACACTAAAATAAGAGATGTTTACATCTTTTCCCATATAGGTCTTAGTGGAGGTAGCAATATAGCTCCCAATCAAATTTCCATGAATAAAATGCATATAAAATAGGAATATCAAATCCTACTCCAATAGAGTTGTGCAGTTCTTTAAAATACTTGAAAACCAGTTCATAAATTAACTTTAAAGTTATTAAGAAGACAATTTTTTATTTTCTGACAATAGGACTGAGGTCTTAGAAAAGACTTTCTTTTTGTACTACTTAATTCTTTATTCACATCAAGAAACATGCTTACTAAAATTTAAAGTTAGATAAACTTAAGAAAACCCCACAAAGTTGAAGTTTCTGTATGAGTTTCATTATTTGTTTCAAAATTAGTTTATCTTATGCTAGGGAAATCGCTTCAACCAAATGGTCAAACCACACTATCAAGAGCCATCACTAGGGCTAGGGAGCTTATCTCTTTTCCAAATTGGACCCCTTAAGCTCAGCACTGTCCAGTAACTTGCTCTATGCTGGAAACAGACAGTCCCTTCAGTCAAGTTGTCTTTTGAACTCTCTCTGGAGTTGGGGTGATTTCAAAGTTGGAAAACTGAGCTTCAGGCTGCATGCAAATTAAGAATAGAAGTGCTGAGCTGCAAACAAAGCATGTTATTAGCAGGTGCTAATTGTGAAATCTAAAGAAAGGTTTGCTGTGGATATATCGCAAAAGTAATAATACATCCGAGGATAACTGAGAGATGATTGTAGTGTAGATTTATTTAAGCATGAGACCCTTTCAGTTTTCTTTTCCTATTCTGAACAAAAAGGAAGAAAGGTATAACATTTTTCAAGCTATTAAAATTCATCCTTTTCTATTAACACTTGCTAATTTTATTGAATGTTTAAGATCTTAATTTGTTTTAATCATATTATTTTCTAATTCTTTTTTTCTAATGTTTACAATAAGAAAAATAGAGGGCAAGGAATATAAAGAGAATAAAAGCAGATTTTTAAAAATTCAAAAACCAAACTTCATTCAGATTAAAAAACTGAAACTATAATTTCAAACACAGTTGTATTTCTCATATATGCCAGTGGTGGTAGCAGACAACACAGTAACATATAAAATAGAACATGTATAGACTATAAGTAGAAATTATTTGTCTACAGGGAAAATTCTATTTATTTAAGCATTTATTATGAGACTGAACAAAATAAAATTGTGAAAAGCCAATCTAATTTAAATTTATTCAAAAATTTAAGTTAAAACTTTCTTTTTGCTTTAAAATTTCACTAATTGTAACACCAAAAAGAAACTGGTAATCACGACTAAGGAGAACATCTGATCTGCCGCTGCCTGTTTTAATAGAGCAATAACCCTTGGAGGGCTGTCAAAAGTGCCTACAATAAAACATATAAATTAAGCTTTTGATATTACATTTTTTTGCTTTCCAAAAACTGCAAGGAAAAGAAATCTAGACTTTGAGTTACTGTGTATATAGTCTATAACATTCACAACACTCTTCTATTTAATGGGCTTTCAAAAAGTTAACCCAGTATTTACGCAAATATTTACGCCAAAAAAAGTTAGGTTTTTTTAATAAAAAATATTCAATGAGCCAGATTACAGGAATGCTTTATGTATAATTCTTTTTATTTTCATGCAAAATAAAGGCACACTTAATAACACCCTTTCAATTTTGACTTACAGGATTTAAATTCAACCTCTTATAACAATGACTTACATCTAATGTTACATTCATGTTCAGAATGCACAAAGTGCAGCAACAAATGCAGCAAACCTCAAAAAAAGGTGCTACAAAGTTGCTTCTACATCAAAAAACACACAAGTGTCTGAAAGAGTAATTTAACATACTTTTACAGACATACAGCTAACCTACAGAAAGACAGACAGATTTAGGAAAGCAGCTACATCTGCAGAGGAAGGAAACAGCATGTTACAGACAATCAATTATACATAGAACATTTGACAAACACCACAGAAAACAAATTTTGGCATCATTTACCAGGATACAAAACCTTGCACAAATCTTTTGGCAAGTAAGTGCATAAGTAATGTTCTGGGGCCCAAGCAGATTGTTAATTCTAAAATTAACTATTTGATAATAGAAGCATTGTCTAATACAATTACATAAATTAAAAAAATAAGGAACTTGGAATTACATTTCCATTTTAGTAATATGATATGGTATATCTTTGATTCACATTCTGAAACTGGGGCTTTTAAAAGAAAAAGGTGCATTAGACAAACGAATAAATATTTCAGACATTATGATATGAGCTGCTCCCATATCATTTCACAAAAAGCTGACAGACTGACCATTATTTTCAATTGAAACGAATACCCGTTCTATCAATTTTCTGCCCTGGTCAGATTATTAATCAGACACTACCTATCATATAGTATTCTTTCTGCCTGTGTCAGCTGCTGAGACAGGAACTAAAAAGCAGAAGGAATTCCCTGCATGCATTATGTGTACTGTTAGCAAAAGAGTGAGGTGTGCCCCAGTCCATCTGAGGCACAGCAAGTTGCATAACATCATTACCACTTTGCAGGGTCTGCCGTCCTCCAGCCAACACTCCACTAGGCAACATCCCTGTGGGAGTCAGGCCCTTGAGTGTCAGCACACTTTCACTCTCCTCCCTGTAGCAGAGAGATATAACAAACATAAGAGACTTCCAAGAAGTACTTAGCTTAAAAGAGGAGATGGGTCCAGATGTAGGCCATGTATATCATTTATGATATGCATTGCTATTACCATATTTTCCTTAATTCCAAGATATAGATTTTTCCATATTCTAAATGTTTCAGACATGAGGGTTACCTTATAATTGAGACATATATTGTTTTTCCTGAAAAGTTTAATATATGGTGGGATTCATCATCAATGGGCATTATACATTTAAGAAAATACGGTATTTTATATGCTTTAAAGTTCAAATGTCTGATGTAATCACTTTTGCAAATGAATTTTTAAAGACTGATCCATTCATGTACACCTGTAAGCCTGGTCTTCCTGAATTAATCTCAGGAAGACAATTTGTGGCTCCAGCGAAAGAGAGTTCCTAAACAGATGCCCTCTAAAAAGTGCCCTCTTCTTATCCTGTTCTAATTTTCAATGTGTAGATTTAGTAATTTCATCACAGAAGGACAAGAGACACCAAAGGTGAGCGATAATAATCACAAGGGTCAAAAACCTTAGTTTCGAAGGGACTTGTGTTCCCCTCTTCAATATGTAAATGTATAACTAACTTCTTTATAGGAAGAATGCTACTACAGTGCTTTTAGATGTCAAACAGGCTACTGCTTGTAACAAAATACAATAAAAGTAATTTCTATAAAACAAATATTCAGAAAAATGTATCATTACCTGAGAACAGAGAAGACCCTTGCCATCTTGCCAATTGCTCGAATTTTGTTTCTTATGATTTCTTTCCGGGCTGCAGCTGAACCTACTTTCAATGGAATAAATAGAAAGAAAGACTCAAGTTTAGGGCATTCATGCCTGCATTATTCTTTTAGCCTGTTTCATACTCATCTGAACCACCGCCAAGCCCCCTGCCACCAGCGCACATGGAAGAGACTAAGATGAAGTCATGCCAAAAAGCTTCTCACTCCTTCAATGTTTAACTCAGCACTGGTCTAATACTGAGATCTGATACAGATACAAAAGAAAAGTAATCTACAAACTATGACTCTCACACTACTAATCCGTAAAACGGCAATGGGAAAGAAACTAAAGCCCAGCTGAATCACAAACCAGAGGATGAAGTAATAACAACAACTATCCTAGAGTTTTAAATTCTCATGAGATGATGACATGCAAACTAATAGATAAGAATTGGTAACAGCCTATATAGTCTTCTGTTTAACTATTATAAAAGCCTTTGACATGCAGGCGGGAAATATATCATCATACTATGACAAAATAAGCTCCCTTGCTGTCTAAAAACAGTGGTATGAAGCGACTACTGTGCAGGTAACCCAGAACTATGCACAACCTCATGGACTAGGTATCCCCTGTGGTCATGCAAATATATACAAGCTCTTACATCCCTAGGTGATTATGACACAAGGATAGTGAGCAATAAGAAAAGACTCCTTAAAAAACATGGCTAAAATTTAGATCACTAATGCTTCATTTCTAAAGGGTTAGCTGTGCTACCTATGACTGATACAGAAGAGAATATACCAAAATAACTGGATCTTTGGCTGACGAAACACTGAAAGGTTCTATCTTCCTTCCCTTGGCTACCAGAAAGAACAATAACAACCTCATCAGTCTTGTCATCTCATATATAGCAACTAGAATCATTCTGAACCCAAGAGTGTGCTGCTGTAGAACTGTGCTTCAATGTGATGAAAACACACATATGGAAGCATCATGGTTGCGAAGGTTAAGGAAAAGCTAAAGACACTAGATCAATAGGGGCTTTAGGTATACAGAGATCTGAACAACCACCGTCTTCTGGGCTAGAACATTTCATTTAAAATTCAAGCATCCCACAAATACATATAATTAACAACTAAGAAGATGACTGGACCTTCCTGCAAGGAAACAGAAAAAGAAATCCAATTTCAAAGATGAAAACAAAAAACATATTTTAGAGAAAATAGGCTCCACAACCATGTTTATGGTGCTCTTAAGGGTAATATTATGAGCACTGAAGCTACAGCTTTTACAAGTCAAAAACTATGCAGGTACTCCAGCACTACACAAGTATTTTTAAGATGTTAAAAAAATTACTAGAAGTCTCAGAATCATAGAATATTAGAATTTGAAGAGACATTAAGAGATAGTGCAAAGTTCAATCTCCTCATTTTATAGACAAAGTTCACTAAGTGTCTTGTGTAAGGACATAAAGTCTGATCCTCTTCAAATAATAGGTCATTTTGGACATTCTGTTTTGAAATAGAATTTTTTTAAATAGGAGAGGAGTACAGGGATGGGGGAAGATGGCTGTAATGAGGTATATTCATATTTTCAGTCTTAATTTATATATCTGTAAAACTGAATGATATGTAAACAATACTGATTTCAAATTTAAAAATTCATTGGAATATAAAAACAGTACAAATCAGGATTTTAAATCAGTCTACAAACATGTCATGCATAATATTAAAGTAAATGTCCACAGTAAAATTACTTTGGGGAATAAGACAGACAATCAAACACCCCTAATCATGCAGGGAAAAGTACAAAACATTACAAATAAGTAAAAGAATGAAATTTAAAAACAAGAGGAATGAAAAAGAGGGAAAATATTTCCATGCACAGAAAGACAGATATCTTGGAATATGACTTCCAAAAACATCAAATTCTAACTTAGATAAAACTTAAACTAAATTTGCACAAGGCCCAAGAGGACTCTGCATAAACAGTACTCAACGAATGTGCTAACTTACATGGATATGAGGATAACTTATGAAGTCATATTTCAAAACAATGTTACTCTGTCTGGTCTGTACCTTTTTTATTGCCATATATGAGCCGTTCTTCAGATGGAGAGTCCAGAAAAAAGGAAGTGAATGATGGAGAAAAGGTGGTTGAGACAAATAAAAAGATAGAGATTTAACTTGGCAGTGGTACTGAAGAATGAATGTAGAAAGAAAGAGAGAAAAATGAAGGCCCTTATATTTGAAATTTGAAAAATGTAGTACTGTAGGATCTGGCGAATAAAAGAAGGATGCCACTGTGTAAAGCTCTAAAGGAAAGATTTCTTAAAAGATATGTGTTCAGAAGAAATTATAGAAAGAATGACTATAATATTTAATGAAAGCAGACAAATTAGGGACAGAAAAATACACGTGAAAAACACATAAGACTGATAAAAGACTGTGCTAACAACAATCGCACATTATACTGATATCCCTAAGGAAGTATGTCACCCATGGAAGTATGTTAAGTGAAAGGTAATGACACAAATGAGGTACAAACTCATGTGGTTCTTCAGGATACCAACATCTGCAAAAATCTGTAGTTTATACAGAGAAATGTTGGTAACTTTATAAACTACCTCAATGGAAAATCTCATCCACTCCCAATAAAGGAAAGGCTAAGCCTCCCACAGTCCATAATAACAAGGGCACAGAATTTCCTGAATCTGAATTGCAGAACTTTTGCACATACTCAGGAGCAACAGCATGTACCTTCTGTTCCTAATAGAACCTGAGAGTTTGAGGAATTTTTTTTTGCAGAAACAGCAACAGATTGTTTCAAATCAGCAGAGATGTTTCATTTGGGCTTTCCATGTCTTCTATTTTAATGCTGAGATACGTGATTCCATTATAGGAAATGCAAAGTTTTAGTTTAGTAAAACTACAGCACGTAGATTACGTATTTCCTTTATCAAACTCAAGATAAAAAAATTATCTGAAATAGTGTGCATTCTAAATATCACAGAAATCAAGTGTTCAAATATTTTTTCTTTAATTAAATAAATACCTCTAAAAGAAATTCTTGTGCATTTATACATGTAACATGTTTATCTATTCTCCTTTAAAAATAACCTCACACATACAAAACCAAAGACCATCACTTAAGAAGAGAAACTTATTCCTTTACTCGATTTCAAACTTAAATATAGAAAAACTACTCTTTCCTTCCTAATCACCAACCTTGCTCTCTCCCTTTCCCCACAGACAAGCTAAACCCTTATTCTGCCTCCACAGCAATACTTGCCCCACCAAATTTTCTTTCTAAGTCAGATTTCTCCCCAGGCCCAGTCCATAGGATGGTTTCACTGGTGAGAAGGAAAAGGAGGAGAGGACATAAGGCATGCTATCACGGTGAAAGGAAAGGAGAAAAGATGAACAGAGTTAAAGGGAAGAAATAAGGGAATATGAATAAGGAAGGGAAATAAACCTAGTTCCAGTAGCTCTTTTCCCTGCCCTATCCTAGTATCTATCCTAATTTCCGCCCTTTTACCTCCATTCCTCTATGTTCTTTCTCTCTTAAACCACTCTCATTCCTCCATGCAAACTCCCAGACCCATATTCTTAAAATTTTCTTGGAGTCCCAGCTCCTAATACTTGATAGTATAAAGGTGAAGAAATGAAGAACTCAGTGTTTTTTCCCATAGAAACACTGTCATAAATGGTGCTCCCGATTTAAATTATTTAAGAGTGGGAAAGAAATTTCATCCTATTTCCTCAATCTATGGATGAGAACATCCTGAGAAATTAGCTATCTTTTCCAAGATTACATGGCTAGTTATAATGGTAGCTCCAAGATACCTGAATCATTGACCCTGTCCACTAAATTGCATTGCCTCATTAAGATTAATCATTAATCTTTAATGATTAAATGTGATTCATCTCTGGAACATAATGATATAACAAGTGAATAAATAAGTATAATTTATCATTGATAGGAAAAATATTGATAAGACACATTAAATCTCATTATAAGGAATATAATGACATTTTATATTTATTCCTGGTTGAATCCCAAAAAATGATTCTATGTCTATATTCATATAAATCATAGATATCTAAACCAAGTACTATATTAGACTTACTAAGGAAATTTTTTCCTTCTTATTAGAGGAAGAGGACTAAAGCACTACCTATCACCACTCCTATTTATCACATTGTCAGCAATATTGATATAAATTTCTAAAGAATAAAAAGAAATTATAAGTAAAAATATAAAAAATAAATAATAATATCAGCCTCATGCAAATGATATATTTTCAAGTTAAGGAAAACAAAATAAAAATTACTGTAGGAAATAATTTTTCTGATCTAAGTTATTGAACATAAGATAAACCCACAAATATATAATTACTTTATATACAGAAAATATGTTGAGATACCAGTTATAATAATAATATAAAATACTAAAGTATTAATTTAACTCGGTAATAACAGAATTTTTAAAGAAAAACTAACTTAAATGGACTAATTATATATATATTAAACAGAATAATTATAGTAAATGAACTAATTATATAGAGCAAGAGATCTTGATCTTAGTTTAGAAAACTAAATATTATATTTTAAAAAATTCCAAGATTTAGATATAGATTTAATGTAACACTAATAAGAACTCCGATATTTCTCAGAATCTGAAAAATTAACAGAAAATGTATCTGAAAACATTAGTGGGCTATGTATCAAACATTATTTCAGTCGTTATATCAATATCTATATTATAAAGTAGGTACTATTATCTTCATTTTGAAGATAAGAAAACTGAGGCTCAGTAAGGTTAAGTAACTTGCCTGAGACTACATAGTTATTTTAAGGAACTAGAATCTGAACCCAGACCTAGTCTTAGAGAGGTGGTAGCAGAACAGGGAAAAGAAATATTTAATTAACACTATTTTAAAATTTTATGGAAAAGACAGATATATTAGAACTAAAAACTTCTACACAAACATGAAAAGGAGAATTAAAATAAGGGAAAATAAATATTATTCATTAAAGCTTATTACTCAAACCAAAAAAAGAACTGATATAATTTATTTCAGTTAACAAAACTACAAGCCAGAGTAAAAGCACATCTCTGCCTGCCACCAACAGATGGCAATAAGAAGACACTTGTACACAATCACTTTGTAATTTGAACAAATAGGCTTACAACAGGGTTTAAGAATAAAACCTGTTTGTAAGTAGAAAAATATCTAAATAGTTTTTACTTAGATTTTACTTGATAAGTGGTCAGTTAAAATGGATAGCTTACACAGTTGGAAAAGTAAAGTAATTTTTTCCTTAGCATCGCTGAAATCAAGGAAATGTAAATTAAACCAACTGTAATTTACTACTGGATAGCCACCAAGCAAAATAAGTAAAAATCACCAAAACTCAATGAGGTGGGCCTGTGGAGAAATAGGTCTATAGATTAATTGCTGGAAGCACTTCATCTTGGTCCAGTTCTTTTGCAAAGTAATCTGGTAGTTCATAGCTAAAATAATGAAGCTAAAATTTATATTCTTTAACTCTATAGTTCTCTTCAAGAAATTTATTCCAAAAAGGAAAATAAAAACTTGTACAAATATGCTTATTGCATGCTATTCATAATAAGGAAAATTTAAAGCCACCCAAATGCCAAATAATATGAAACAAACTATGAAAATTATTATATATTAATACACTTAGAAATACGTAGCTATTAAATTTTACCAATATGTAAACCATGTTTAATACATGGAAACATATGTATACTGACTAACTATGAAAACTGCTACAACAAAGGTGTGAGAGGCATATGGAAGGAAATAGTTTTCAGTTCACAAGTTGTTTACATCCTTGTTTACTCAACTAAATTTAAACAAATATTTAAATTTAAAAGTTTTAAATAAAAAGTTCAAAACAACAATAAAAAGGATTTTGTTTCTATGGTATTAATTTATACTATACATGCACATTAGGTACATAGGCTGGTTAGCTTACATAAAAACTAACAACTACATATAACCTTGTTTCTACAGAAAAAAATGCTTTCTGAATCTCAAACTAAACTAACAAGTGGTTTCTTAGAACACAACCATTCATAAGTTGGGACAGCCTACTTTGGTTTTTGAAAGGAAGAAGTAACAATAACACTGGGGGTTTAAGTATGCTTCTGATGCACTAAGAATTCTGTACCAATGAAATAACCATTTTTATCCTTCCTTCTCTAAGCAGTGTCTATATTCATGAAGAACCACATCCTTTTAAACCATCAATTTTCCTTTCCTTCTGATCTTTCTTCCAAATTTCCCCTTCCCCAAATTCATCATCTTCCCCATACCAACAGAAAAACAAAATAAAATCACTAAAATTATTTTAAAATCTTAAAATAAATATCTGAAAAAGTGCCTTGTCACTTATCGAATAACAGTCATTTGAAAACAATGACTATGTTTTGCAAGAGTGTGTACTGAAGCTGGGAAGTTATAATACATTTCACAATAAAAAATAGTAAAATGAATAATCATACCATCAAACTGGTCTTCACCTTCAGTCATCAGTTCATCATCGGAGCAAATACTCAGAACATTAACCAACATTTCTGTCACTATTCCAAAAACAAAAAACAAAAAAAAGTTATATGTTAGCTGCCCATATTCAACTATCTGTATATATAGCAACTATTCATATAAGTGGTCGGGTGATTTTTAACCCAAGAAGACTAACACATTCTGATAGCAGAAATGATGGAATTAAAAGATACAAAGGTTTCACAATAAAATAAATTCAACATTTAACAAGTCTGAGAGAGATTCTTTATGGAATAAGTTTTCTGGTCTCTCAGAAAAAAAATGAAGCCCTACAGAGATAAGAAAAGAGATGAAAAACACCTACATATATATATTTAAATTCTTCATATCTGAATATAGCATTAATGAGTAAGAAAAAAAATCATGGCACAATTCCACTATTGCAAAAAAGCTCCAGAACTGAATATTTTAAAGACTGGCCCCAGTAACTCTCTGAAACTTAATTAAGATTGCTAATGACTATCTAACAACCTAAACCCATGGTTCTTTCTTAGACTTAATCCACCTTTACCATTCTCTATATCTTTCCCTTCTCTTTTCCCTTGGTTTCCAGGATTCTACTCATGGTTTTCCTACTTTTTAAACCATTTTCCCCAAAATTTAGATATTCTGAAGATTCTCTATGCAGTACTGATTTTTTTTACATGCTCAAATTTCTTGGTGATCCCATCCATTCCTATATAAAGTATCACCTTTTTGAAGATGATTCCAAATTCTATTATCACCAGTCTTGACCTCTCTTTTCAAAGTCTGTATTTCCTTGCTGGTTTTGATCAGCAACCATTTTCAACTATTTGTATACTGTCTGTTTCCTCTACTAAAATGAAAGCTTCATGAGTGCAGAATGTTGTTTTGTTTGCCATTGTATTCCCCAGAGCCTAGTATAATGCCTGGCACATGACAGGCATCCAACAAATATCTGACAAATGAGTAAAATAAAAAAGAAAATTTCAATTAATAAATAAAAATGCCTGGATGTTCTGATGACACCTAGAAATGAACACATCCAAAAGAAAATTCATCATCATCCCTATTATTCCTCCTATAAACATATTCATAGTGAAGCACATGTCAGACACTGTGCTAAAGCTCTGGGATTTGGAAATAAAAGGTCCAGTCACAACTCTCCAAAAGCTTACTAACTACTGAAGGACACACAAGCACACACACACACACACACAAGTGATGAGCACTATGCTGTAAGTATGCACAGGTATGTAAAAGATCTGGGAAAAGGAAGGCAGAGGAATCACGAAGTAGGAGTTTGCCAGGTAGAAATGACAGATGAGGCATTCTATAAATAAAAGTTAGAAAGAGAATGAAGTAGTCATATAGATCAATGAAACAGAATTGAGAGTCCAGAAATAAAACCTCACATTTAAGGTCAACTGATTTTCAACAGGAGTGCCAAAACAATTCAGTGGGGGAAAGAATAGTCTTTTTGAGAAATGGTAGTGGAAAACTGGATATCCATATGCAAAGGAAAGAAGTTGGACCACCCCCACTTCACAACATATACAAAAATTAACTGAAAATGGATCAAAGACCTAAATGTTAAGAGCTAAAACTATAAACTCTTAGAAGACAGAGAGGTAAATCTTGGATTAGGCAATGGTTTCGAAGGATACCATCCAGAAAGTAAAAAGACAATCTATAAAACAGGAGAAAATATTTGCAAATCAAATATCTAATAAAGGACTTGTATCTAGAATATATAAAGAACTCTTACAACGCAATAATAAAAAGATAACCCATTTAAAACTGAATAAAGAATTTAAATAAACATTTCTTTAAAGAAGATATGCAAATGGCCAGTAAGTACATGAAAATACACTCAACATCATCATTCATTAGGGAAATGCAAATCAAAACTACAATGACAACTTCATTCCAATATGATAGCTATAATAACAAGAATTGGCAAAGATATGAAAAAATTGGGACTGATGTACACTGCACAGCTGCCTTGGACAACAGTTTGGCGGATCCTGAAAAGGTTAAACATAGTTATCATATGATCCAGTAATTCTACTCATAGTTCTATACCTAAGAAAAATGAAAAAGTATGTCTACACAAAAATTTGTACACAAATGTTTGTCGCAGCATTATTCGTAACAGTCAAAAAGTAGAAACTAAATATCCACCAACAGATGAATGGATAAACAAAAGGTAGTATGTCCATACAACAGAATATTACTTGGTCCCCAAAAGGAATAAAGTACTGATTCATGCTACTACATGCATGAACCCTGAACACATTATAGAAAGAAGCCAGTCATAAGAGACCACATTTTATGATTCCATTTATGTAAAATGTCCAGAATAGGCAAATCTATGAAGAAAAGGGATTAGTGGTTGCCTATTAGTGGTTGCAAGGAGGGGCGGGCATGAGGAGTGACTATTAAGAGACATAAGGTTTCTTTTGGGAGGATTATGAAAATGTTTCAAAATTGATTGTACTGCACAACTCTGACTATACCAAAAACCACCAAACTGTCCAATTTAAATAGGTTAATTGTACAGTATGTGAATTATATCTCAATAAAGCTGTTACGAAAAAAACAAAAAGAATGAAGGCATGATACTTCAAGAGCACAACATACCAAGGAAATTGGCTGTGCTGTGTTAGACAATATGAAAGAGAAAGTGAGGATGGTCCAAAAACCATGTGTGACAGGTTAAGGTTTATCTTGAAGGCTACCAGAAACCTTTCATTGATACTAAATAGTAGCTTTTAAGTATATAGTACTTTTCATCCAGAGGCTTAGCTGTGAAGAAAAGGCAAGAGAGTAACATCATAAGAGTAGCTAGCCAAAGAAAGATACCAGGTGGAGGAAATTTTTTAAATTTAAATATCAGACAAATTGAAATAATGTATACAAGAGTTTAGTAGAGAAAGTTTGAAGATATAGAGGACCTAACTGATGAAGCAAGGTTCCTAAAAAAGCAGAAGGATAAATGAATCCAGGGACAAGACAAGAATTCAAGATGAGTTCAGCTTATAAAACAGAAAAACAGTAAGTAGAGAAAGCTCCCACGAATGGTATGCGTTTTCTCTGAGAGTGAGGCAAGTGGCTGGAAAAAGAAAGTGTTTGGAAAAAAAAAGGATGAAAATTTAGACTATCCTAAAGGAAATGGGAGACGAAGCAGACCAGTGACATAAAGGATGCTGGGTACTATTGAGAGCCCAGCTAATGCTAGAAATCAAATATTTTGATGTATAAATATCTCTAGCAATACTCCATACCTTGGCTGTAAGAATGGAGAAAATGGATAGCTGGACTTTGCTGGAGGTGAGTTATAGGACTAATAACGCAGAAAAACGAGAGAGAAAGGAGTTTGAGGGTATGTTAAGAAGAGAGACAAGGAGAGGTCTGACTAATAAGAAAATGACATAGTCAAAGGCCTAGCGATTCCAATGACGATGAAGAGCAGCTAAAACCAGAGTGAGGGCTCGATAGAATGACAGTGGTTTTCATCTGAGGGTGTTAATGGCACTATCATTACCAGACTCAAAACATCCAACCATTCCCTCACCTTAAACATGCAATCCTTGTTAAGTCTCACTTATTCTACTTCTATAGTTCTTGTGGTTCTCGCCTGCTCTCCTAACCCTACCACAGCTTCATTATGTTTCCATTTGACTCTTGATACAGCTTCACAAAAGGTCTCCCAACCCACAGCCTTCCTTCCAGTCCTTTCACCACAGTAGTTTTCCTAATGACTATCATCGTCATATTCTCTTTCAGTTGCTTCCCACCATTTATCAAAGTTCCAAATTCTCTGTGTGGTGATCAAGATACTCACAATCTAAACATGACTTAAATTTTCATTCTTTTTCTACTCCTATCCTTCCTACATCTTACTCGCTAATCAATTGAACCCCTTAACATTTGTCAGTGACCTTCTGCTTTCTTGCTTTCAGACTGGGGCTTGACAAGTTCTCTTACCGAGAATTCCTGTGCACTATCTACCAGCACAATTCTACCATTCTTCAAGCCCTAGTTCAAATGCTACTTTAATCCCTCTGACAGATATAATCTCTCTTAATTCCTATAAAACTATGCTTATCTGAGAGTGATTATTACATTATATTTTATCATTTATGTAGCTTAAGTCCATTATTAATCTGCAAAGACCCATATCTTATTTGTATTTTTATATCCTAAGTACCGTGAATAAAATACACTTAAAAAAAATCTAGTAAATGAATAAATCTTATAGGTATGACTTTCTAAGAAGATCACACCATATTGGAACCTCTAGAAGAGAGGTTCTTAAATTGGGACCAATAAACCTGAGGAGGTTAACCAACTGAATTCAGATCTTTGAGTGCCCTGAAAATGTTATATGTATGTACAAATGTAAATGTATTTGTACATGAATTTTCCTGGGGCAAAAGTTCATAACTTTCATCAGATTCATAACTTTCATCAGGGTTTTGTATTAAGAGATTAACGTTTTTGTGTAGTTACTTTAATTAAAAGTAGAGTCCTTACTTTTAGAGATTCATTTAAAACATTTATAGGTACAAAAAAAATAGCTGAGACTTGACTTAAAGTGTGGGGTGTGGGGGTTGGGATCAGTGGATGGGGATATAAATGACACAGTATTGGCCATGACTTGATAATAATTGTTGAAGCTGAGTAATTAGTACATAGGAATTCATCCTATTATTCACTCTACCTTTGTATATATTGGAAATTTTCCAATATAAGTTTTTCTTTAAGGAAACAAAAATCCCCCAGAAGGTTAAAAAACATTGTTTTCATCTAACTTTAAAATTAAACCAGCCTCTCAGGAAGGCTCTGGCTCTGGTTAGTTTCTTCTGAGGAACTGGATCAGAGTCAAACTGGCTTTTTTGAAGTAGAACAAATGAGATATCATTTGCTGCTTTTCACACCAAAAGAAAATTTTCATTAGAATCAAGAAGTAGTCAGACTATCTAAAGTTAACATGTACTAAAATGGAAAAGTATGCAACAAGTCTGAGAAAATTTTCTTACTGCACTGAACATTGTTTAGGATTCTATTTGCATATAATGTTCAAATCTGGGCTTCGGTTTTAGAAAGATGTAATTTAGAGAAGATCCATAGAAAAACAATAAAAATGGTCAAAAGGTTTGAATACTTTCTCACCTTATAATAGATAATTTAGAATGGCAAAAGATCACTTAGTAGCAGATTTCAAATGCAAGAATGCTGATACAAAACTACTGTTCTCCATCTTCACTTAAGAGAAATCCACAGAAAGTAGATAAATTTTCTCATCTTTCAAAAGGAATTAGACTACATGATTGTTAAGCTCACCATGAGCTCTAAAATTTTGTGATGTCCTGGTTTTTGAAAAGTGCATTAAGCATTATTCACAGTGGACAGGACACGGAAGCAACTGAAGTGTCCTACGATAGATGATTAGCTAAAGAAGCTGCGGTACATATATATAATGGAATATTACTCAGCCATAAGAAGAGATGAAATACTGCCATTTGCGACAACATGGATGGACCTCAAGATAATCATGCTAAGCAAAATAAGCCAGACAGAAAAAGTTGAATATCATTTACATGTGGGATATAAACCTAAAAGCAACAAATGAGCAGGACAAACAGAGTCTCATGGATATGGACTATAGACTAGTGGTTATTAGTAGGGTGGGGGAGGAGGGGAGAGGTAGACAGGGTAAGGGGGGTCAAATGCAGGGAGAGGAGGGAGGGTGAAGTGGGTAAAGGGGATCAAATATACGGTAGCTAAAGGAAACTGGACTTTGGGTGGTAAACACACAATATACAGATGTCAAATGATAATGTACACCTGAAAATTATATAATTGTATTAACCAATCTTACCCCAATAAACTTAATAAAAATAAATAAATTTTTAAAAAGGTGCATTAGTTGAGAAAAAAAACTATTATCTCTATTTCTTTCTTTGTTTAAACACTCATAGCATAAACATTTAAATTAGATACAATTAAATATTACCTTATTGGGGAAGCATCAGAGAATCAAATTAGAATCTATGAAATATCCATCTTCCTCCTACTGTTATCCTCCCTGTTCGCTCCACCCCCCGCTCCACTCATATTACATTAAAATAGTTGAGCTGCAGTATAGCCTGGAGGTAGAAGAATGAGCAAGATGAATTCTTAATTCTCTTTAGCCTGATGATGCTATGATTGAACTATTTTCATATACCAAAGATAGAAGGTTATAAGTGTAATGCATCCCTTGCACCTAAGCCCTTTACTTGCCCCCTTCTCAAATGCTAAAGTGGGTAACTCTATCTCCATATTAACTTTGTGTTGACCTACTGAGTAAATGACAACTGAAGCCAATCTAAAAAAAAACCTATTTAACATGCACAGTTTAAGTATTAACTCTGAATTTTAGAACCAAAAATTGCCTTGGCAGAAGTAACATTTCAAACAGAAAGAAACATTTTGTAACATGGAAGAGGTGAGAAAAAATAAGGAGGGATATAGAACAAAATGTTTTACAATCATGTCTGTATTCTCAAACTCTTATTTTCCACATATGGAAACTAAGGCATTGCCTTGTAGAAAAATTAACACCAAATTGGAAAAGAATGTGATAAAGTAAGGAAATCCTAAGAATTCTACAGAACTAGAACAAAACACAGAAACAAAATTTCATAAATAGCATTTATGTTCTCTTTAAAAACTATTAAGTATATACTAATAAGTATCTTTCTAAATTATTAGAAAAGCATTACCACTAAAATTACATACATATTTTTTATATAGGAGAGGAAATGTCAGATTAGAATGTGAATTTCTCTTTACCATTTTTCTGAGTACAGAACTACTATAAAATGACTAGCATTGCCCCAACCGAGGTCTATTAAATTATCCCATAAATTGCTGTGACATCCCCCAATATTGGTGTTAAAACACACAACAGTGTCCAATACAAAGCAAAGCTATCCTTCTAACCTTCATAAAAGATTTAAGCTAAAGAAAAAAAGAAAACTCAACAGCTGAAGACAACATCAGGCTATTTATAAGTTGTCTCCCAGTCCCCCAGATACAATCACATGGGGGCTGTAAACAGCTAACTAAAATATCTTTGAGGCTCTCAGATCCACACCCACTGACACAAGTAGAGCTGTACCCACAGTGAAACTAGATTTCAGCTTCCTTTAGCAAGTAGGTGCCTGTGATAGTAAACTGGAGTAAATGTAACAGTAATAAAACAATTTTTTAAAAATAAAAATCATACCTTTCTCTCCAACAAATGGTAAAGACCATGTGAAGACATCCATAAAATTGGGCAACCAGTAAGGATGTGGAGAACAGTTAAATTGTCGAATATTCATCACATTATTTTCATACTTTAATACAGCAGCTGCAAGATAAGTTTGAATGTCAATGTAACAATTTGTCTTTAGCTCCAAATGTCTAAAACACATAAAAGCAGAAAAATATCTTTTTAACTGGGTAGGGAATTCAAGGGGTGAGTGGAATGAGGGCTAGTAGAGGGAGGTAGGAACTAATTTTAGTAATAACACACTTTTTGTTTTCTAACAAACTTTTATGTAGAGCATCGTCAAAGCTTCATGTTATTATTAATCAAACTTCTAGATTCTTTCCAGAATGTTTTACTTTATGATCCAATGATAAATACACACTTTTATTAAATCCAAAATTGTGAAAACTCAATTTTTAAAGGAAACACAGAATGGCAATGAACAATTTTCTAGGTTTAAAAGTTCATAAAAGTTGGAAGAATTTAAGAGTCTTTTTTAGTTGCAGGTAACCTAAATGGTAATAAAGAAAAACCAAACCAAATACGCCCCCCCCAAAAAACAGAAAAAACAAAAAAAGAAAAAAACCAATGTAGAATATTTTATTTAAAAATGTATGAATGTATTTATTTCATTTAATATGGAAAATCAAGTGAAACTACTAAAAAATATTTTACTTCATTTAGGAAAAAAACATCCATTAAAACACCAAAAGAGAAAATATAACCAAATAACCCATACCCATCTCAATTTCAGATATCTTTCTAATGTTTCAGTATGTTGATATAAATAATATCTTAAATTAACTGACATAAGTTTCAGTCACTGGTTATATTATTTTATGGAATACTAGGTTAGAGAGTGCTAGATTCTAATCTAAGCTATGACAGGTACTAGCTGTGCAATACTTGGTAAATTATTTAACTAATCTGTTTCTCATTTATAAAATAGGACTAATATGTTCACCCCACCTACTTCAGAAGTTTGTTTTAAGATCAGAGAATGCATTTTGCATGAAAACATGTAAAAATGTAAAATGCTCTGCAGATATAATAACTATGTGGTTGGTTACTTCTCTTTTTCATTTTAATGAAAAGTACTGAAATGTAGCTGTTAAATTCCAAGATTTGAGATTCTGGCTAATATAGGGTCACAAGTAATATGCCTGTTCTTTTACAAAATTCCCATGAAATAAAAGTATCTTAAATTTAGCCTCAGAAATTATAGGCTGATACCAAGCTTTCAGCTTTAAAAAAACTAGAGAATCTAGAAAATTGTCTTACATATAGAATGAAACAATACAAACATACTCATACCACAGAAGCACTCAAATCATTAACACTATGTACAGACTCAGAACTACAAAAAGACATTTGATTCTGACAAGACAGATTCAATAGTGTGAGTTTCTATTCTGAGTACTAAGAAAATTGATCCTTAACCTCCTGAGTCAAACAAAGGACAACTAGTAAGGCAGTAATCAACTGAGCACTGAACTCTAGCTAGCCCGTTTAATGCTGAAAGGGGAGGTCACAGTTGAGATGAATGAGAGCACGGTAGAGAGTTAAATGTAGCACTTGAGTCTGTTCTTGAGAATGCAGTCAAAACTCAGTTACATTTCCCCTCAAAAATGAAGCCGTATCTCATCAGGTAACTTTACAGAAGTTTAAAAATTTATAAACCAAAACAAAATTTAAAAGAATATTTTAGCATTGGCGTAATACTTAAAGGCTGTACTGATACTAGCTTCTGAAGATTAGCCAGTTAACATTAGTATTATGCTTCTTTTGGTAATTAACATAGTATTATGTTCTTACAGCATATTTTGTGTCAAAGTTATTATATAGCATGCTACTGCTTGACCTCAGGCGAATGTTTTAATTGTTTAACCATCACTTCCAATCATCCAAAGAACTCTTATTCTGCTCCTCTTTTGAACTCACACCACAACCCATATTTAGCAATGACCTCATTATCTCTCTAAATATACTTTTAAAAGTCTGTTCTTTCATCCTGGCACATCCACTCCAGTCTGAGCCTTGAGACTATGGCACAGTCAACTGAATTCCAGACAAGTCAAAACAGAATAGGCTGAAAATGTGAACTACAAAAACATACTCAAGCTTATCTTCAATGTTCTTGGCACACACTTAACTAGATTAAGATCCTTTGGTATTATCTGTCAATAAGCTATGTTCGAAGTTAAATGAAACCCAATTACTATAATACACACCCCATCAAATTTAAAGGGAAGGAGGGGGAATGGAAACCAATGGAACAGAAGGTAAAGAAAAAAGATAAAAGAAAAAAAAGAAGAAAGAACAGTAAAAAGAAAGAAAAGGGAAGAACATATGCCTGAAAGGAGGTGAGAGCGAATTAATCAAAGAAGGCTCAACTACAAATCTTGAT